AGCATAAAGATTTGGCTTTGGTGGCCTAATCAAATGCAGGAAGAGGGGGGAATTTAAATTAACATTCAGCAACTGATTGCTTCCAGTCAACTTGTTTGAACAACTGCACTCGCTGCTGCCTGAAAGCTGAAGCTCTCAAACATGGAGATTCATCTCCTCCAGCATTAATGATCATGATACAGCATGTTGCAAAACATGCAGGAGGGAATGTGAGGGACATCTGTGAACCCATCACTTGGAGAAGGCAAAAGGAACTACTGCTGGTAGAGAGCAAATGAGGACTGATTGGCCAAGAATACCCAAGGAACTTGGCAAAGAAAGCCACTGTGTAGGAAGAGGGGAAGATTAGGAAATTCAAGACAGCAAAGTCACCCTGGTAATGCCCAACTAGCAGTGCTAGTGTGGTGCCCAGCCACAGTTTGGGAATGCAGAGAAAAGAGAACATAAAAGGCAGATCATTTTTTTCTACTACAGACTGAATAAACCTGAATAGGAATGTCTGTTCCTGTAGTGAGTACCACAATTCCATATCCTTCATTAAGATTAATTAGTTCTCTTGTTGGCAGTATCAATGGAAAGGTCAAGCACTGGATTGATCAAGGAAAGCCACACTCCCCTATTGCTGCAGGAGCTGCTGGGAAAGCCATGCTCCTAGCAAAAAGTTTGGGATCCCATTGCCCATGTAACTGACTTCAGTTCTCTCACCTGAGGACATCTAACGTGAGAAACATCAATCTTACAGCCTTCCATTACCATTAACATTCACTATTAAAGATAAGAACTAATGTATTTCCTCTCTGATATTGTGGGTAATCTCATTCAGACCGTGCAAACAGCCTGAGCTGCTCTGCTGTATCTCAGGGAGCTGGAAGCCTTCTCCCAGCAAGAAACCCCTGCAGCAGTTACCATGGTAACACCAGTACGAGACATTCAAAGGCAGCTCTCCCATAATCACTTCTATTAGGGATCAAGAAGCTTTATTAAGAAAAAGCAGAAAAAGCTTGAAACCAGAGACCCGGGTCTGGTAATGGAGTAAGTAGACAAGGAACATACAGAGAGATCTGCTCTTACCACCACCTGGCTGCACACAAAGCACTCGTTCCATTCAAACCTGAGGCAGCACTGAAGTATAAGCTATTTTTAGTCATTTAAAAATTTGTTCCACTGCCACATTTCAGCAGCAATAGCTCTATGAACCCCTCCAGAAGAGCAATAGGAGGCTGTGCTGTGGCTCACTACTACAGCAGGGCCAGGCTGTGGGACATATTGCTGCCCATGGCACCCAGAGGGCCTTCCTTCCTGCAGGGGACATCGGTGGCACTGCAGGTCTTGGCAGGGCAGCATCACCTAACAGTGGCTGGGCAGCCCCAGTGTCACACTGCTATCTGCATGCAGGGGGAAACATGGATGCAGGTGCATAAGAAGCTCACTTTGATGAAGAGCTATCTTGGGAGAACTAGAGCTATAAATGTCAAACAATGTGTTTCTCGAGGTTTGAATCTGTAGCCTTCCAGACTGGTGGAATGCAACAAAGAATCTGCAGGACCAGATTTCCAGCCACCAAGTCACTTCAAGCTGGCTAAGCCAGGTAACAATTATCACCTTGAGATTCCCCTTCTGCTGCGTATTTCCATGACAACTTTCCCCATTATCAACTTCTTCACATTGGAAAGGTCTCTCAAATGAGAGTTTGGGCTCCTATAGCAACGGCTGAAATCCCTGGGAGACGATGATGTCTGAAACTTTACACAGATCTTTTTTTAGCCCATGGGCTACAACATGAGTGCATTTTAGATTTCATAGATCAAAGCAAAAGTATGCCCAGTACTGGGGAAATTGGGAAGAAGGAAACTAGTAGCTCACTGAAGTGGGACAAAACTGGAGGAACTATGGTCAAAAAGGACGTGCACTTTCAGATATAAAATATTAAAGAGAAGAAAGAGGATCAAACAGCTCAAAAACCACACATCCTGCTCCTTCTCCCTGAGCTACAAATCAGAGCCACAAGGAACAAGCCTGCTGATCCTAAAAGGAGATCCTTTTTAAATCTGTGTCTATATCACTGCAGTCTATCTGACCTGAAGAAAAACCAGCGAGTCAGGCTGCCTTTTCCATTTTACCTCCCATATACCTGCCATCTCCCCACAGTGTGACCTGTTATTAATACTTCAGCTGTTTGTCATCATAGTGGCAGATACTCCAGCATAGAAAGCCTTTCTTTTTTTATATTAGAAGAAAAAAATAACTGCACCCTCAAACATAAAATTGGTTAAATTCATAAGCCAAGGGAAGCATAGATGTTAAAGCAACTAAATCTACTGGATTTAGGCATATTTCACAAAGCAATTTACTCCTGTAATGTCCTTTCAAAGCCAAGAACTTAAAATCTCATAGGTAAGAAATCATTACATTCAGAACCTGGATGAGAGGTAGGAAAGCTGCAGCCTCTGTTCACGGATATGAGAACTACAGTGAAAATGTTAGGTGGTGCTGCTGGAATGGAGCCCAGCACAGCCCACTGTAGTCATGGAGAGCCTATGGGCTCCAGGAGAGGCAAGGGCTGCAGAGCAACCAGCACTGCAAACCTGCTGTGCTTTCTTCTGCTCGTGGTACAATGAAAAGGTTTCCCTTCTTCTGTGAGAAGACCAGTGAACCTGTCCTCTCTTCCTCTCTGTCCTTTGGGCTACTGCAGTTCTGGGAAAGAAAAAGGGGCAGGCAGGTAGGTGTAAGAGTGAAAAAGAATGGATTAATCTATTTTCAGCTTCCACCTTCAGCCACTTCCTGCTTCACAAAGGACTCAGGAACTGACAATGTGTTACAAAATAAAGTTGAGCTATGAAAACCTTTGGATTTTGTTTTCAAACAGCACTGCCAAAAATGACAGCTGAAGACTATTCAAAATCTTGGAGGGACACACAAAACCAGGATTTCAAGCAAAACCATTACTTCCAAGGTTTGAACAATCTGCCTTTCAGAACCCTTCTGGAGAACATTGCAACGTGGGATAACAACTGAGTCACTGCACAGGCCAAGTGAAATACAATCATGTAATATTCCTGCATGCTGCCCTCTGCTGAAGTGCTGAGCACAGTGGGTCCATTGCAGGCCTGAGCAAAGCCACCATCAGCTGCACCTGATCCTGTCATCACACAGGGAGGAGACGCACAAAATGAAGAGGTTTCACCTGGGACAAGAAAGAAACAACTTAAAATTTCACATGAACAACTCATTAGAGATGTCTCAGACTCTCAGATTCCCTCTCCAAGCCTTAATGTTCCATCTGACTTCCCTCATGTGACTGTTTGGATAACCTCATCAGGACTTTTCAAGCACATATATTTGTTCAAAGGTGGAACAGAGAACAGCACGAAATGGAAAAGGATAAATACCTAAAGGGGAAATAGAAATGTTTAATTCAATATGCATATTCATAAATAAATATAATTATTTCATATAAAGGCATGTGAAAATACTTGTGAAATACTGTTATATTCATAAGCAAACATGAACTCATGATTTTGGGTTTGGAAACACAGAAAAGAAGTTAAAAGCAGTATTCCAGCTTCACATGTAAACTCGCAGCGTCAAATGCCAGTTCCAACATATCTTTCTTCCCTTTATGCCTTTGGAAAATAGGCTTTGCAGTGTGACTTCAAAATCAGCCCAACTAGGTTAGTGTGGATCAAAGAGAAGATTGAGATCTACAGTTCAGGGCTCCCTAGGGAGCTCAATCTGCCACCAACCTCCTCTCCTGTATAGAGATCCCATTGTGGTAGATATTAACAGCACACTTTGCAACAGTTTCTGACCTTAAAATACAAGAAGCCTTAAAGAGTAAAAAAAAAATAGCGAGGAAAGAGCTCTGGGCAGGTCTGATGGTCCAGCCAGCAGAGGGCAGTGGAATTTAAGAGGAGAAGAGGAAAGTTGATGGAAATAACTTCATCACTTCATTTGAAGAGGTACTCAATCAATCCAGATTGTTATTTGAACCTGCATATCCAGCACAAACAAGACACAGGGCAAGAAATTTAAGAAAATGAAAAGAAAAAAAGAAATAAGAAAAAATTATTTTGGATCCTTCGGATTTCTAAGCAGTCACCTTTCAGAACATTGCATGGCACCAGGAAGATTTCATACTTAACTCATTGCCTAAGAACAACGAGCAAATTTTACACATCGTTTTCAGTTCTTGAAGCACATGGATCTGAAGCATCCTGCTGAAACCATCACAGCTGTTTCTCAAGGGTTAAAAACATACGGGTAACAAAGTTAAACCAAGCCAACACTGAAGTCAACAAGGCTATTTCTTTGAAGCAAACCCATCTGCAGTGTGCTGGGCTGAGCAGAGCACTGCTTCTGCTCCACAGAACAGGAACACAGCAAAGTGAGATGGAACACACACGTGTGGGTGAAGGCTTTTAACCTTGGCAGCTCCTCGTTTGCTGAGGGGGACACAGAAGTTTCCCACCCTGTTACCAAACAGGGCAAGCACGGAAGGACTGAGGTTTCTATATGACTTGCCGTGAGCTCAGTTTGCATTCTGTGACAGAAAGGCAGACTTTCATTTGCTCTCTAAGCACCTTTGAAGTAAAGCTGTCTCTCCGTGCCTCCCTGCAGCAGGGGCTGCTCAGGTGGCCGCAGGAGATGCCCAGCACCTCGCACCTCCACACACCTCAAGAGAGCCCCGAGGGCCACGGGATGAAACCCCACCAACCCCAGGACATCCTCAGGGTTCGGCCCGGTGCTGTGCAGGATCACCACCGCAGGACCCGCAGCTCCCGGCCCCACGGCGAGGCTGACCTGCTGCCCCCAGAAGTCACTCAGACGGAGCGGCGGGCGGGAACGGCGCCTCAGAGCTTCACGGCGCCTCAGAGCTTCCCGCCGCTCCGCGCACCTGAAGCAGAGCGGCCCCGCACTGCGGCTCCTCAGCCCGCCCACAGCCCGCGGCTGCCCACAGCCCGCTCCCAGCCCTTCTCCATCCCAACCGGAGCCGCTCTCACCCGCTGCCGCCGCCACCGCCGCCGCCTCCGCTGCCGCCTTCGAGGATGCTCGGGCAGCCGGAGCGCTCACCTCAGCTGCACCGGCCCCAACGGCCGCCAGGGGGCTGCGGCACGCCGGGTAACGGAGCTCCCCGCCCTCAGCGCGGCCAATCACGTGTGTCGGCACGGAGCATGCCGGGAGCTGTAGTTCCCCGCTCTGGCGCGGCCGCGGGGCACGCTGGGAAATGGAGTCGCGGCACCGCGCCGCACAACGGGCGTCTCCCTCAGCGAAACTACGACACCCATCGGCCCCCGCGCGCCGCTCCCTCCGCGCTACGGAAGCCGCGCTGCCGGCACCTGGAGCGGGTCGCGGCGCCGAGGACAGCGATGGCGGCCGCACCGCCGCCTTCCACGCCGGGCGGTTCGCAGCCGCCGCCGCCTCTGCAGTACAGCGCTCTACTGCAGCACCTGGTGGGCGAGCAGCGACGGCCCCGAGTGTGGGACCCCAACACCTTCGGGGGCATTCCCAGCCCGCCCAAGAGCAAGGAGCAGAAGATGGTGGAGAGGGCCATGGAGAGCTGCGCCTTCAAAGCGGCGTTGGCCTGCGTGGGGGGTGCGGCGGGGCTGGGAGGGCCGGGGGCCCGCGGTACCGGGAGGGGTTGACGCTGAGGGAGAGGCTGCGGCCCCCTCAGCTCTCAGGAGGGCCCGGGGAGGGGTCTCCTTCCTTCCCCAGTTGAAGGAAGAGTGCTCCGTGCTGTGTGCCCTCAGTAAAGGAGGGTCAGCACCAGTGCCCACCACTCGGAGGGACAGCACCTCGTGCTGCCCGTAGGACCGGAGCAGCTCTGACCCTGTGAGGAGACCTGCTCCAATCCAGAGGTTCATTTCATACCCATCGTCTTTCCCAGGGTTTGTTCTCGGAGGAGCATTTGGGATCTTCACTGCTGGCATCGACACCAACGTGGGCTTCGACCCCAAGGACCCCTATCGCACCCCGACTGCCAAGGAGGTGCTGAAGGACATGGGGCAGCGCGGCATTTCCTATGCCAAGAACTTTGCCATCGTGGGCGCCATGTTCTCCTGCACCGAGTGCGTGGTGGAATCAGTGAGTAACGACCCTCAAACATTACATAAGGTTTTATTACACTAGTGATCACCTTTCATGAGTCCAAGTCCCTTTGCACTGTGGTGAGGGATCGGCTCGTTTCCTTTTGCTTCTTGCTCATTTAAGCTTTTCAGTTCTAAAGGTTTTCAGAACTGTTCACTGATGGAATAAGCAGAGCTGCGTGCGATAGTGAAGACCTTTCCCATTCAAGTCCTGGATTTTGGCATTACTTTTTGAAACCTTAGCTCCAAACAACTTGTTGTTGTGTTAAAAGATCAAACTGGGAGTTGCAACATGGCCATCTGAGCCTCTAAAAATTGTATGTGCAGAAAGGGATCCTTTGATGAAAGTTCTGAAGTAACAGACCTGTTTTCAGCTTGCCCCTACAGCAAGAAATGACCTCGTGCGGCTTGGCATTAAAGCTATCATCCATTTTCTTAAAAAGGAAGATGAGCCTGTTATGAATGTCAGTACTGTCCTTTAATTGAACAACACAATTAGTTCTTATGTAAAAGAAAAGTGCATCTGTTTGCACAATGAAGCAGAACAAACAGATGTTGCACTGGTGAAAAACCAGCGTGCTCACGCTATTTCCATAGCTAATGTTTGCCCGCAGGCTGCTGATGCTCTCCCTGTGCTGAGCAGCAGGCTGCATGGCCAGGTTGTGCTCACAGTGCCTTTAAAATCTGTGAGCTGGTTCCAGTGCACAGTGCTGCCTTCTGGGGGCTGTATGGGTTCACCTGGGAGTCTGCTGTAGCACTGCATTGCACCATGCGGATGTGTCTTACTTCTCCTTCTGACCTGCTCCTTCCCCTCCTCCTGGCTGTACAAAACCTTTTACAGTGCAGGGGGGCCATCTGCTGAGAGCAGAGGGAAAAACATCCTCATCTGAAACGGCTGGAAGGTCGCTTCATCTCCCTTGGTATTAGCACAGATGTTGAGTTGTTATTCCATATTTACTTGTTGTCTCTGTTTTTTAATTCCACAGTATCGTGGAAAGTCAGACTGGAGGAACAGTGTTATTAGTGGCTGCATCACGGGAGGAGCAATCGGCTTCAGAGGTTGGTGATGCCTGCTAGCAACTACTGTGATAAGACAGCAATTTGGTATGGTAACAGGCAGCATTTTTAAGGCAACATACACAGCAAATCTCTTTGTATGGGGTTATGTTGATGTCAGCATGAGAATGTGCTTGAAGTTGGCAGAATTGCCATCTCTGTCGCTTTCCTGTCATCTTGAAAGATATGTGTGGGTAGGGAAGGCTGGTTGTACAGGACAGGGAGATCGGAGAAAAATGAACAGAAGTGACTTGAAAGCAAATCAGGAAATGGTGCTAGCTGTCCACATGCTTCTGGGATGTCATGGAGAGGGAGCCAAAAATATGTTCTGAGCAACTCGCTGAAGTTACAGCTCTTGTGTTAATAGAGCTCTTCTTATATATATTGTTTCACTGGCAGGAACTCTGTTAACTTGCACAGCTTGTACAATGCTTCCCTCCTTTCTCCCATCTCAAATCAAACAGGCAATTCTATTTAGCTGTACAAGAGCAGGAGCACTGAGATTTTAGTCCAGCAGGACCTAGTGGGGACTTCTTGGGAAGCTTTGACTGTTAACATCTGGAAAAGAGCCCCGGGCAGGAAGAGAGCTGTGCTGCTGCTCAGCAGAAATATCAAACTTCACTTACTTATCTTTAAAAAAACAAAATCAAACAGACAAAAACAGTTTACAGAGCATAGAAGAAATGAAAGTGCTCTCAAAAGAGCTTCTAATTGAGCTTGTTAAGTTGTGTCTGTCCTGGACCTAATCCTCTTAGAGCATTCAAAGTAGCAGCTGCTTTTGCAGTCCATCTTTGCCCAACAGTAAAGTCACTTGCTTTGAATCAGAGCACCCTGAAGTCGTCAGTGGCCACTGCTGTTTTCTGTCCTAGCCTGTGCAGGGAGACTTAGCAACACTGCACACAGTCACTGTGTTATGCTCAGCCAGATGTGGGAGCTGAAGTCCCATCTGTGTCAGGTTACCCCCTTCCCTGGGGCAGGGGCAGCATTCCCTGGTGGAGGACTGCCAGGTTCCTGCAGGTGTCAGCTTTTCAAGCCAATGCAGCGTAGGCTAATTGCTGTGAGGAATCTTTTTTTTTCCCTGTTTTGTCTCATTCTTTCCCATCCTTTTGCATTGCAGCTGGTATGAAGGCAGGGGTGATCGGCTGTGGTGGATTTGCTGCTTTTTCCGCAGCAATTGATTACTATCTACGGTAACAGCAGGATCCCTTGGGAGCAAGTTTTCCTTGCGTTCCAGTGCTGCTGCTCAGAGCCTGCATCACGGCAGAAGAACCATCAGGCTTACCTTTCCACTGCCTTGGAGTCCTGATCAGTGCAAGCTGGATGATGCTGGCTGCTTTTCCTGAATGACTAACAATTATCTGGCTGCGAGCCTTGGCATGCTGCTTCAGGCAGGCCTGCAGGAATGTGCAAGGATGGAGCCAGGCACAGGGAGCAGTATCACCAGTACAGATCAGCTGACTGTCAGTTTCCAGGAAACAAGCCTGGACTCTGAGCTTTCTGGATCCTTTGGGTCTGATTTTGATTAAGTCTGTTGCTAGCATCAAAAGAGGCAGGAGAACAATCAAGAAATGCAGTGGTTTATGTTACCGTGTGTTTGAATATTCTGCAAGTGTTTAGCAGCTCCTGGTTTGCAGCTTGCTGCTCTGTTGGGGAGAGGTAAGATCCTGTGGAGAAATAGTTTGTTCCAGGCTTTTCTTAAAATATCAACTGAAGACAAACCACCATCTGTACAACTTGTCTTATTTCAAGTACGGAACGAATGCCAGATTTCTTTACCATTTCTTAAAGGGGAAAGCAAAAAGGAATCCTGTGCCTTAGAACCATGTGGTTCCTGGCAGATGAACAAAACAGTTTAAGGGTAAAAAAGAGGTTGTTGCAGATGTATAATTCTCTGTAGCCATTTGGCTCGCCTGATTTAACCTCGCCCTGGGAGTACAAGCAGTTCTGCTACTGCTTTATACTGCCACAGGCTCACACCCTCAGTTCCAGCAGTTTGATGGCTGGACTTAAAGCAGAGTTGTGAGAATAAAGACAGATAACAAGGCGTTCACTTATCATGCTGTCTGCTTCCCATTTTTTTCCTACACCACCTCTGAGCTCCCCAGTGTTAAACTGGGAGAAAGTGAAACATCACTTCTGCAGAATGCTGGTACTGAAGTCAGAGCACCTGCTCATGAGCTTGGCTGGCTGCTCCCTTTTGGATTTGCATTCTTATTAGCTGTCTTGTTTTTCTAACCAAATTCTGTTTTCAGACCTCAGGGGATAATTTTTATATTCAAAATAGTTTAGATGCTGTTTTAACCTTCTTTGAGCCACTGTGCGAGGGCAAACACCCACCCTTGCAATGAAAAGCAGGATTTAAAGTGCAGTGTGAACATTTAATGGGGGTTCTCCCATATGATTCCCCTCTGCATTTGGGTTTTGACATCCCAGGACAGCACAGCATTTGCTTACCTGGAAGAGCAACACCAGCTGGGTGTTTAGTGAGAAAGTGGTCACTTTGGAGGCGTGCTGTCTCCCATGCCTACATGGAAAGAAGTGGGGAGACAGCTCCATGTGATCTATCAGCTGAGGTTTCCTGATCGCCTGATCTCCCTCGCTGTGCCTGTTCAGTGTCCTCAGGCCAGAAGCTGTGCAAGTCAGCTGAATTTGAAGCTTGAGTAATTTTGGGCTCATTAAACAAGCTGGCTCCAGACAGTCCAGGTTTTTTCCTCCAGAATGTACTGAAATGCAAGGATGTAGCCCAAACCATAAGATGTCTCCTAAAAGATTGCCTGGCACAATGCCTGTGCTTATACCACTGGCTTGAAACACAACTAGCAAGATTTCCATGACTGAAAGAGGAGCAGTTATGGAGCCAAGGTGATCAACTCGTGCAAACAGCAACACCACAGGGCTCCTTTTGTGCAAATGTTGGGGCTTTGCGTTTTTATTAACAGGTTTGTTTTGTTTTTTTTTTTTCTCTTCACATGGTTTACAGCCATTTAAAGTTTATAATCTACAGAAATTGAAACAGAACACAAACAAAAATATATCCTTAACAACTTCTGAAAGTCAAATATTAATTAACAGTTCTATTCTACCTGTAGCTGCAAAAGTTCACCCCCCTGCCTTCCCCTCCTGTGGGGACAAACGAAGCCCATCACAGGGACAGCTGCCGCCTGCTGTGCCGGGGCTGTGCGGAGTGGTCCCCGGCCACCATCACACAGGGGGATTGGGCTGCACAGAGCCTCCATCTGGAATGACACTATGGTGGACAGAGACTTGGACACATGTAACAAATCAGACACGCGCAGGGATCCGTTGTGCAGTCAGATCTAACGCTCGGCCTCCTTCCTGGGTCCAGGGCCAAGACAGACGCCTGGTTATTTTCTGCTATGCTGTTTCCCTTCTGTTTAGCTGGTAGTCAAGAGGAGCAGGGGCTGGAGTGTGAGCCCTTTAGAGGGAGACCAAAAGACCTCCCCTCCTGTAGTTGCTTTGCTGGTGGGGGGCCGGCAGGTGCTGTCTTCCCCAGGGAGGTGGGCTTGGGACATACCTGGAGCATCGGCCGGGCTCTACCTGGAACAGTCTGATAGTCAGGTGGGTAAAGGCAAGGCTGGTAGTGGGGACATGCTTGGTCACCTCTCATCCATCTCCTTTGGCACAGGAGTGCGTGGGGCCACCACAATCGAGGAGAGGGCTTTCCCCATGATAACACAGGGTAGGCTCACAGAACCGAGGCACCAGCACCCACCTGTAAGGGCAGGGACAAGGCCGTTGATGAAACAGCTTTGTGAGAAGCACTGCTGCCTCCAGGAGAGCCAACAGAACCCACAAGGGCCTTCCTCCTCCTTTCCCTGGGTCACAGAGGGAAACAAAACCTCTCCTTCCTCACTGGGGCTTCAGCCAGCTTTGTTGTGGGACACATGGAGCTGCAGTGCATTGCAGCCCAGGGGTTGGTAACCCAGTGGCAGTGCTTGGCTGGAAGGGGCACATGCAGAGCTAAGGCAGGGATACAGAAATGGCAGGGAAATACTCTTGCTTGGCAAGAACAAGGCCTAGTCCCTAGACCCTGTGAGGGGGGAATTGTGAGACCTGCAGAACACCAAGGGAGGTAACCACCATGCTGCACCCCTACAGGCGGAGCACGGGGAGCAAGGAGACTGGCCTGAAGCACCCAGCAGGGATGTGGTGGGGAGGCAGCAGTGCCCTGCTTTGTGTTCTCATGGATGCAGAGCCAGATCCAGGTGCGGGGTCCAACGGCGCAGGCAGCGAGGCAGAGCAGAGCCAGAGCCAAGCAGCAGCTGGGCACTGGTGGGTCCTGCAGGCTTTGAGCAGGGCGAGATGAGGGCTGCTGGGCAGGAGTCAGCGGGTGGGAAGGAATCCAGGAGAAAATAAGCCAAGGAGGAGCCTGTGTCCACAGCCCTTGTCAGTCACTACCTCATCCGTTGAACAAATATACATAAAAACAATTCTTGAACACAAGAAGGGACATAAGACACGACTACTTTACAGAGCGGCACGGCGCTGGGGCGGCACCAGGCCATCAGTACACGATTGTACAGGAGCTGCAGGCGGCACATCTCGGGTCCAGGCTGATGTCCTCAGGGGCCGCGATCCGGTCCATGGCCCTGGCAGGGAGCTGGGAGTGTTTGCAGCCAGTGCCTCCTTCCTGCGGGCTACACGTCCGTGGAGAAGTAAAGTGTGTTGCGTTTCAGCTCCGTGAAGGAGATGGGAGGGTGCTGCAGGTAGTAGAGAAGGACCTGGACCTATGGTGGGCAAACAGGGGGTGTTAGGCCAAAAATGAGAGTGCTGCCAGCATGTCCTGTTGCAGCAATCCCCAGTGAGGACAGACAGGGGAAGCCCTTTAGGGGCTCTCACCTGGGCCATCACATCGTGGGACCAGATGTCAGATGCCAGGGTGAGGTGTCCTTTGCTCTCTCCCTCTGAAGGTCTCAGCAGTGTTGGCCCAAAGACTGTGGCCAGGTTGTGGAGGGACATTTTGTTGATGGGCTCCTTTTCCGCTACCCTGGAGGGTGAGGAGAGAGCGCAAATGTGAGCCCCCAAAGCTTCACCCCTACAGCAGCACAGCCATGGGGCAATGTAGAGGAACAAACACCAAACCTTCCTCCCACCCTGCAGCCCCAGCATTGGCTGTTCAGAGCCTGGGGCAGGGCAGAGAGCTCAGCCCCCTTCATGGCCTCTGCGGGAGCCGCCAGGCCTGGCTGGGAGCCCCAAGTGTGATGTGGCAGCGGCGTAGCCTGGCCTGCTTCTGATCTACAGAGCCTCCGCCCTGCCCAGCCCCTGCAGGGCATAGAGGATGCACACCGGCCCCTGGCCCCAGCTACCCCACACTGGGGGACTGCACTGCCATGTCAGCAGGTGGCCACAATCCTCGGCTGAGCCCCGGCCAGGAGAGCAGATGTAGGAACTGCCTGTACCCAATTCTCAGGATGGAAATGGATTTTCCTTCCCCACCCCCAGCAGCAATCACTTTTTCTGTTTGCTTTTAGCCAAACCAGAGAAAAACAGTTCCCGATGCGAGTAACACGAGCTGCCAGTCCCATTCCCAAGCTCACAGCACACTGCGTCTGGGCTCTGCTGACAGCTCTGTGTCCACCATAGGGCCCCAGTGCTGCCCTTCCCCAGTCTCAGATGGGCTCTCCCTGCCCCAGATGGAGCCGACACAGGAGCTCCAGCCTCTGCCATGCTGGGATGCAACTACAGCAGCATAAGGTGCTGCATGCAGCTTCAGGATGGCTCTGCAGAGCTGAACACCCCTGCAGACACGTTATGGGGATTAGCACAATGTGCTTTGCTCCTGGACTGATGGGAAGGGATGCAGTGCTGTTTTCTAAGAGGGCACTGCATGGTTCCAAATTGATTCCCCGCCCTCTGCTGAGGCCACAGAGATCTCATCCCAGCAGCTGCACGCAGGCTGAGGCAGCCAAGAGCTGCCTCATGCCAAAGGCTGAGCTGCCCTCCCTGCCCCACACCGCCAAGCTGTTACCTTTTCAAGTGCTCCAGCAGGAAGAGGAAAGTGATGAGGTTGGGGTCAGGCAGTGAGCGGAGAAGGTGCATCATGCAGTTCTCCTTGGCAGCAGGATCTGAGAGGGCTGGGGGCAAGGAGAGAGATTCAGGACGGAGCATCCAGCCTTGCATGAGCAGGACGGTGGGGAAAAGCAGCATGGCCAGACCCCTTCTCATCCCCAAGGCCTTACCGATGCCCTCCATAAAGGCAGGGTACAGTCTATCAGTGAGGAGGGGCTCAGGCAGCTCCCGGAAATACAGTTTGAGCGTGCCGGCGATGGCGTTGATGTCCATGTCACTCAGCATCACCAGGATGTCCTTGTTATCTGACCAGAGAGCAGAGCCACATGTGATGCTTCCTGTCTGCCAACACCTGTATCTCCCCAATGCCCAGCGAGGGGGCAGCACAGCTGGGTCCCCAGCCCCATGGCACTCTGAGAGACAGCATGGGTCCCTGTGGATGTGACCACCCCACGGAGGGAATGTGCACCAGTGTGAGCATTAATCCAACTTCTGACCCTCCTGCTGCTGTTGGGAGTGGATTGTTTGGCCATGCTGGGGCTGGGCACAGCTGAGCGGTCCCCGCCTGCTGGGCAATGGAACGCGGAACAATTTGCAAATCCATCTGCAACCTTGCCCTGACTCAGTGTCTCCCTGGGAGCCATCCAGGCATGGAGGCAGAGCACAGCCATAACATAAACACCACCAAAAATAGGTCAGGGGTTGCAGGGCTCCCTTCTGGGGGCTCAGACCCCATGCATCCACCCAGCCAATTTGCACCTAGTGCAATGCAACAGGCAGACCCCGAGCCTGCAGGACCGGAGGCTGGAAGGGTGCCTGATGCCTGCAGATAGACAGAGGCAGTCACTCACTCGCATCAAAGACAGCCTTCAGTGCCTGGATATCCGTGGCAACGCCGGAGATCCTGTAGATGCCGACCTCCTCAATGCCTCTCTTCTCCACCTCCTCGATGCACTGGCGCACAATGTAAGGCACCTTGGAGCGCTCGCGCCTGGCTCAGAAAGGAGAGGTGTAAGCAGTAATTGCTGGACCCCACCAGCCCCACGTTCCCAGATCCCACGGGGAGTGGGACAGCAGCCACCCGCAGCCCCGCACGCACTTTGTCACAACGCTGATTTTGACCCCGAAGACTCCAGTCTGCTTTTTGGATGGGGTCCTCTTCAGGCTCATGTCTCTGCTTGTGAACTTCATGGAGAACTCCACCTTGATCTGTGGGAGATGTCCTGGTTGTCATCTCTGTGTCACACGGCCCCACAGCCTGGATCCCAGCCAGCAGCTCCCCTTGGGGAGGAACCAACAATCCCACCCCAAGGAAGGGGGTTTGGGCCCCGCTTACCCCATTCATCTCAATCACATCCATGTGCCAGTTCTTGGTCTGCACAGCCTGTGGGTCCAGCTGTGGGGAGAGACAGCACGTGAGGGTCCTTGAGTCCCCACCTGCTGCCACCCCTCCCCCCCCAAACCACAGGTGGTGCTGGAGACCAAAGGGACAATCCGGGGTCCCCTGGGTTGGGTGCTGAACCCATGTGGGATCAGTCCCCCCTGAGCCCCCAGCCGAACATACACCCCAGAGGCAAGAAATTTCCAAGAATCGGGACTATTTCTGGAGGCAGATTGATGGAACAGAACTAGGGCAGCATTTTCCATGCAGAAAAAAACAACATCTCCCAATAGCCAGGGCTATTTATAACCCCTGGGAATGACAGGCTCTGCTATTTCAGGCTTTCGGGGTAGCAGGGGACTCGGTGATGCTTCCCCTGGGCCGCAGCGAGGTTCTGGTGTTCCCAAGGCCCTGACATGGGTGGCAGCGAGGTGGCACAGAGCTGTCCCCAATCCCCAGTGATGCAGGACTGGGGCAGAGGTGACAATGCTGATTCTGGACCCAAAAGAATGGAGATCAGGAATCTCATCCCTGGAGACATGACAGCAGGGGTGAGGAAGGCTGCCACCAGCTCGCCTTTCCACAGGGATGGGGACTGGGATCAGGGAGTCTGCTCCAACCCGAGGGCATGGGGCTCTGCCGCAGCAGCCAGCTCTCACTCCAATGGTCTTTTGGGGCTTTTTGGTCCCCAGCTGGTAGCATCGATCTGTCCCCATCGATCCCTGTAATGCACAGGGCAGGCAGCAGGGCAGCGCCCGGCACTAATGTCCCCTCGGGGAAGGGGACGGGACGTGGACCTGGCGGGGGTCCCAGGGCCATGTGTGTGCAGCTGCCAGGCGAGGCTCATGCCACACGCGTGAGGTCACTCCTCAAGGACGTTGGAGTTTCCTCTGGCAGCTGCTGGCTTGGGAGATGCTCGAGGCAAGCATCAAGATGTCCAGAGCTCCAGCCACTGAGCTGCCATTCCCCGGCCACAGCTTCTGGCTGCTTGTGAAGCCAGTGCACATTGTGCTGAGGGCTGCTGAGGTCCCTCATGTGCCCTATTGCACACCAAGACACCAAGTTGCCCTGGCTCCCTGCTCACACCCAGTACTGTGGCTGCTGGGAACAGTGAGGAGGAAGAGAAGGAGAAGAAAGGCTGCAGCTACCCTGGGTTCCCATGGGGCTCTACAGTAGGTTTGGACACAAAGATCATGAGACTTCAGCTGGACCGTGGCCAGCCCCAGCCCTGCATCTCCACATCCTTTATGTCCCCTCCACCACAGTGCCACAGCATGCCTGCCACAGCCCCCTGTACAGTAGCACCACAGTTCTGGCCAGGGACCCTTGGACAGATGCAAGGGGCTTTCACCCTTATCCCATGTTTCCTATATGGCAACAGCACAGGGGCTGACTTGTCACTGCAGCCCCAACAGCGACGAGTGAAGCCACTCACTGCCCAGCCAGGTCAGGAGCCATGGGCCTCCGCATTCTGCAGCACAAGATTAATTGAAAACAACACACACATCTGCCCCATCCCCATGGGTCCCCCTGGCTCTGATGGCCCTGGCAGTGCACATCTGGAATGGTTTTAGCAGGCTCTGAACAGAGCCATAATAAAAGCCAGGTTGGATGCTGTTAGCACTGCAGACCTTACCCTGAGTATGTCGTGTTCCTGAGGCCGCCTGCCACACTACAGCCCCCTGCTTCCATCACTGCCCCACAATGGAGATGGCTCAGCTGGAGTCACCAAGGTGCCCTGCAGCTGGGGCTGGTCCCTGCGGGCTCAGGGCTGGCCCCAGTGCTCCCCAAAGCCTACCCATATCCCCATAGGGCAGTGTCTTGGCCAGCCTCGTCCCCACACGTGGGATAAACGTGAGCATCTGCCCATGCAATGCTGGTAAACACCCAGCCTCAGCAACTGTCACCATCACCAACTCCTTCTCCTAAACCAAAGGCAGCTGCCTCATTCCAGCAAGACCCAGTAATGTCCCCAAGCTGGCAGAGAGAATGGTGCAGGTGATATGCTGCAGTCCCAGATGCCAGGTGCTGTGCACGAGCTTTGTGCTGAGCTGGATGCAAGCATCACCCTGCAGCCAGGCAAACAGGTCACAGGTGTCTCTGTGGGACAAATCCCTCCTGCCCACAAGGACAGAGCTGTGACACGCCCATGCTGAGGCCAGCACAGAGGCTGTGCTCACTGCTGGTGGCAGGGAGACCCGTGCAGTGGCCCCAGGAGCTGAGATGTTGCCGGGCACATCCCTTCTTGTGCCTCATCCATGAGGTCACTCGATGCCTCAGCCTGGGGTGAAGCCATTCTGAGCATTGCAGTGACTCACCAGCGTGGCGTCACCCTGTGTCACCCTGGGAGTGAGATCCCAGCAGAGTTGCTGCAGTTGGGGCCATTCCACATCATTTTGGCACCTGAGGGCACCCAGCCTGGCCTCCAGAAGCAGCCCAGTGAGCAGAGGATGCTCTAGATCCCCCAACCAACTCCTTGCCCACAGAGCTGGCAGCGTCAGAGCTGTGCCATTGGAGCACAGCAGCCCCTACACTAGCCCAAAGCAAAGCACAGCCCAAAGCAAAGCACAGCCCAAAGCAGCAAAGCACAGCCCCGTCCAACAGGATGCAGGACGTGCTCTCCGCACACCAGGACCCTGCACACGGACTTGCTGTGGCCAAACTCCTTAGAAGGACAGCTCACCGTGACACAGCCTCTGTTTGCCCGTCTGCCCCGCATCCTGGAGCAGCAGTGGGAAGCACAACCCGCTCGGCTTTTGACCCAGCAACAGCCCCCGGCAGCCTCCTGCACAGCCCTCGCCGCCCCTTAATCCCCGGGAGTGGCGGCTGCACAAAATCGAGGTTAATGCTGCTGCGTCACAGCCAGCCCTGCTGCCACCGAGCCCCCTGTGCTGTTGACAAACTGAACCCACACATGCCAGGGCAGCTCCTGTCCACCACCGCTCCGAGCCAGCACAGGAAGAAAGCCCCTGATGTCACACAGGACAGCCTGAGATGGTGCTGTCCCCCCTGTACCTCATCACATCCCAAAGACAGACAGCACTGATGCGGCTGCAACGCAGCTGCAACGCAGCATCAGAGCGAGGGTTAGGGTCAGGGGGGCTGCAAAGCAAGCAGCACCTACCACCCATGGGGGAGTGCAGCACACTGAGGTGCTGTGTTTCCTCCCGGCCACTTGTGGGGTGTTACACCCCAAGCACACCGCAACCAGCACAGCACAAAACAGCTCAGCATCCCCCAGGGAAGAAGGGAAAGAGGAAAACAAACACTGAGAAGGCAGCTACTTCTAAAAGCTCCCAGAGCATCCAGACAGAGCATGCAGAACCCTCTCCCCAAAGCAAGCGGGTAGCGAGGCACCCCCATAGCCACAACCCCCCTCAGCCAAAAGCCACAGCATGGGAAAGCCATCTGGGTGCCCCTCACCTCCACCTGGTCCCCCCGCACCTTCTGTCGCAGCAGCTTGCTGCGCACCCGGCCCCAGAGGCGGGCGCCGGTGGTGGGGGGCCGTTTGCCATCGGGCTCCTCTGCACCCAGCTCCAGGTGTTCCCCCCCAGGAGTGGGGCCACCGTCCGGCTGCACCAACACGTCGGTCATCACCACCGCTTCGGCTCCGGGGACGTGAGAGGAGAGGTCGGAGGACCCGAGGGTGGCCCGGATGGGGGTTAAGAAAGCACTGGCATTCCCGTTGCTGGGGCACGGAGCTCAGCGGTGGCCGGGGGCAGCCCGGCTCGGGCAGCAGCAGGCTGGGCTCATCTTCAGGGTGTGAGCCAGGCTGGCGAGAAGCGGCTCGGCAGCCCCAAAGCCTCCCTCCCACTGCGAGGAAGTGACTCAAAGCAGCCCCCCCGGCGTCCCCCACGCGTTAACTCCCGCCCTGCCGCCCGCCGTGCTGCTCAGGAGGGTTGTGCAGCCTTGCCTGACACGGCTGGGGACACAGCGCTGGAGCATTCCCAGCCCTCTGAGCAGCCAGGCTGGGCCTGGCAAGAGGCACAAGGTTGGTGCTTTGGGGATTGCCCTGCCAAGCTCTAGGGAACAGGGATTCCTCCGCATGTCCCCATCCCTTCCTGGACCTCGTCACCTCCACCGCTGGCGGAGTGAGGAGGGAACAGAGTGAGGCGGAGTATGGAGATGGGGTGTGCTGCCTTGGAGCATCACCACAGCTCCTCATGGCACAGAGGGACAGAGCAAAGTGTGGGGACTTCCACAGTCCCCTGTCTCCGTGGGGCTCAGCACCAGGAAGGATCCAGCCCCCAGATCTGCATAGAGCATCCCGTGAGTCCCTGCAGACCCAGTAGTGCCCCAACACCACAGATCTTCCCCTGCAGAGCCTCCGCCAGCTCTGCACCAGGGGGGCTGCCAGGGGGTGATTCCCTGCAAGAACTGCAGGCACTGTGCCTGTGACAACACAGCCTCCACTTCCAAAGCTGCATCTCCTCCCCTTGCCCCAAAATGCAGCCATCCAGCCAAGAAGGGGCTTCTCCCTCCTACCCATGAGCCCTGGCTGCCCCCAGGGCTCTGAGCCCTCCTGATGCACCCACTGCCCACCCCCTTGCCAACTGCAGCCCAGTGCCTTCTGCTCCTCACTGCTAACTAGAACCAACACAATCTCAGAGACCAAATAAGGGCTATCCTGAAGCAGCATCTCTGCCTTAGCAGCTCAGAGCACAGAGTAAGGATGCAACAACGCAGGTACCCGCAAACAACAGTGCTTGTCCTGCCCATACCTGCTCCATTCCATTCCATTCCCAGTCTGCAATCATGCTGGTCCTGTTGCAGCCAGCCCTGCCCAGAGCAGTGGGGCCGGGTAATGGTTGGACACCCCTGTCCCAGTGTCAGAGACACCACTGCATCCAGCCAGTTCTTCCTTGGGGCAGGCAGCCCTGAGGCCTCTTATCTCTCCCTTTCTTCCTCCAGGACTTTTGCATAGCACAGACAAGCTGTGCTGTCCCCATCCTGATCCCTGCGTCTCTCAGCGTGACTCATGTTTGTTGACATGGGCTATTTCAGAGAGTGCAGCTGGGCTGAGCCTTGCGAGGCGCTGAGCCCCTTCCCCGGCCTCTTGCACGCTACTTGACCCTATATCACCCCTGCCCTGTGCCAAGGAGGGCAACAGATGGGCAATTTTGGGTATGAATGAGCCCAGCCGAGCCCCTTCTTCTATCTTGCACCCAGTCAGGTGCTGACCCCACTTGGTGCCTCCATCTCAGCAACATTTCCGTGCTCCTTCCTCCCTCCCCAGGGACCTGCCCTCAGCTACTTTCCCATGGAGCAGACAGCCATGACAGGCACTTAGAAGCACGCTCAGATTAGAGGGACGTGTCTCCAGAATGACACTGTCCCCAGCATAGCAGGGAAGGCAGCCAGCCAGACCAGGGGTCCTGCCATGAAACAGGATGGGCATTCCCTGTTGTCCTGCTGCCACTCACCTGGGAGCATCTCAGGGCATCCAAGGCCTCCATCCTCCCTGCCTGGTAACCTCCAATCAGAGGCAGCTCAGCTGTTGCCTTGGAAACACCCGTTGCCATAACAGCAGCTGATGGAGGCGCAGGCGAGGCAGATGGTGGCAGAGGGGGATAGCGGTGGCCAGCGGAGCGGGACGGCTGTGCTGGCGTGGGAAATGTGGGGCAGCACACTCAAAGCCCTCCTTGGGGCAAGCAGGCACTCAGCTCACAGCCCCATCTTGGACAGTGCAGCCCCATTCCTGCAGCTCCTCTGCCACTGGGGCAAGATTTGGATGCAAGCTTCAGAGTGGTCATGGGCTTTGCCACCTCCCCAGGATCCCTTTGTGCTCTATGCCTCTGCTAAGGCTACTGCATGCAGGGATCATCACCCAAAGGCCAGATACACACCATCTGCCAGCTCAGCAGACCAGCCCCAAGAGGGCTGAATGCCCCAGCACATACCTGGATCTGCCCCTTGCCCATGATCTTGTCCACGATTTCATTGTTGTCCTTATTGAGCTTGGTCTTGTCATAGCATTTCTCATAGCAGAGGATGCGCAGGGATTGGGAGCCTTCCAGCTCAATCTCAAATTCCTGGGGAGAGGAGAGAGGATGGCTCAGAACCAGCACCCAAATCAGCTTCAAAACCTGGGCTGGAAGGTGAGCGTGGTCTCTTCCCCACATCCCACAACCTACTCTCACCTCATTCCACTGCGGCTCTGTTGTGTCCCGAAAAACCCTGGTCTTGGCTTTGCTGACAAAATAACCGAAGGAATCCACCTCCAGTGTGCAGTACAGGTCTGGGGGAGGAGACACTGCTGAGCATCCAGAAATGTGTACTCACTGCCAAACCATGGGACACTGGGACAGAGCGGGGCCACATGCAGGACCAAGCTCCCTCCCCAGACCCTGCACACGAGGACAGGTGCCCACACTTACTGGCTGACTGCTTGAAGCCCTTGGCAGAGTGAACAATGACGTGTAGGAACCCATAAAGCCCAGGGGACTCATCGTCTGCAAGACAGGGGGATGCGTTAGAGCTCTGGCTTTTACCATTCATCACAGCCCCTGGGTGACACTCCAGTGTCCCCAGTCCTCTGCAGGGCTGTCTCAGAGGTCTGGGGAAGGCCAAACATCGACCCCCCTTTCCCCCCCCCCCCAACAACCCCACTGGGCATCCCAATGCTGGAGGGATGCTCCCACCCCAAAGCCAGTCTCATGTCAGAGCTGGGAGTGCTGCGTCCTGGAGCCCAGCTGTGCTCCCGCAGTGCCACCTGCTGGGGACATGGCCCCATGTACAGCTAGGGCCACCGCAGCAGGGACCCCACACCACACAGCATGTCCTCCCCACTGACACCACTGTGCAAAGAGGGGCCACCAGCCCCGTTGTCACTCACCATCCTTATTGCTGGTGACCGGGATGTTGTGGACAGTGCGTAGCTTGAAGCAGGACCCTGTCAGCACCTGCAGCTCCACCGAGCTCAGCACAAAGGCCTGGAGGTCTGCAAGAGGACAGCAGAGTAGCTTCAGAGGGACATGGCCAGCACTGGCCCCAGGGACCAGATGGCAGTGGTTGCAATCCCATGGGACCAACCCATCCCAGCAATATGGGGAAAAGGTGACCCATGGGGGCCTCAACAGGACAAGAATTACCTTTTTTCTGCAGTTTCTGAATGGCCTCCCTCCATTCGGACCTCTCGTAGTCAGAGGACAGCAGGAACAAGTAGCTCTGGAAGAGAGAAGGCAATGCTGCAGGGCTGGGACTTGTCCTTCCTTGGCCAGCACAGCCCTCTCACCTGCAGCCCTGCTTACCTTTCCATTGCGGTTGTGGATGCGGAAGGGAATGGCAGGCGAGTTGAGGAGCAGCCAGAACTCATTCTCAAACATCTTCTTCTTGAGGCGCTCAATGGCACGGCTCTGCCCTTTGTTGGCTTTCTGCAGGCAGGGAGAGGACACAGAGGCTGAGTCGGTCAAGGACAGGCAGGCAAGATTTCATTGGTTTCCCCAGAACTTCAGTGTCCCATCACAGGATGGGGATATCCTGGCACTTTATAGGTATCCTATGCTCTCCTCTCACCTCCTTCTGCACCTCACTCTTGATGGCTGAGATCTTCATTTTCATGTCCTCCAGCTCGTGGTCGGGGATGACGTGCACCTGCGGGCAGTGCTCCGACTCCTCCGGCGAGGGGAACACCAGGTCGGCCAGGGGCACGTACCACTTACAGTCGTACTGCTGGTGCTTCCTGCAGCCGAGGTGTGAGCACTGAGAGATCCACCCCACCCTACTGGATCCCACCAGAGGCTGAAGCATCCAGCTCGTTCCCCCTAAACCCTGTGCCCTTCTTACCCCACTGCTGTCTTCTTCAGCTTGGCGCAGAGCAGCACGTCGGTGAAGAGGAAGACGTGCCGCAGCTTCCGCGAGCCCTCTGACAGCTCCACCAAGAAGCCATCCTTGATGAGCTGCCGGGTCTGCAGGGAGCAGGGTGGGTGTCAGAGAGGGAAAAGAGCATAGGGTGGCACACACAGACACCCCCGTCCCTCCCCATGTTTCATCCCACAGGTCCACATTCCCTGGGTACCATTCTGTCTCCCTGAATGTCAGTAGGGTGCCAGCAAGCAGCAAGGACCAGGGCTTGACTGCCCCCCCTCTGCCACCCTGCCTGTCTCACCTCCCCCTTGGGAGTGGTGACCGCTGTCCTCCGGGGATCGATGTCCTCATTGATGCTGGAGAGGAAGTTCTGAGAGATGCGGAGGGCGTCCTGCAGCAGTGGGTAGTCAGGGTGGTCAGACGGGGTGTGCTTGAGGAGGTCCTGGATGGGGTGAGCACGGAGTGAGCGTGGGGTGCCCCACCACAGTGCTCCCCAGGCTGTGGGACCCCAACAGCAGCATGACATGGCTGGTCCAGCCAGGGGACAGAGCCATCACAGGTCACCTCACCCTATTACACCTCACCATCCCCATCCTGCCCCAGTACTGGCATCACACTCACGTGCAGAACAAGGGTGCTCCGGGTGACACGGTCAATGGGCTTGTACAGCAGTGCTGTGGGAGACACAAGGTGTCAGTTAGCACTGCCTGTGGGAGCTCAGCTCCTCACAGCCAGAATCTTTCTCAGTTTCTCTTTTTACTCCATGCTGGGTCCCGTGCAGCTCCTGCTCCAGCCCTGCACACCCACCCCCAGTGAGATGCTCTGCTGCTCCCTTCAGCCCCAGCAGCAGGACCTTCCTTATCATCCCCTCGTGGTGCTGGGTCCCAGCACCCCACAGCTGGTTGCTTGCACATCCCTCTGGGCTATTTATACCCAGACTGAGGCATCTGGATTTTCCCGGCGATTCGGATCACTTCCTCAAATTGCAGAGCCCCAGTGGGGAAGCGCTGCAACCAGGAGAGGAAGAGGGAAACGTGCTGACCCCGCACCACACTATGAGTCATGGAGAAGCTCCCAAGGAGCCTGAAGGAGGGTGCTGTCTGACAGCCCCAGGTGACAAGGCAATGACCCCTCTGTCTGAGAGAGGACACGGGACTGTCCCCCACTGCAGCCACTTCCCCACACCTCGGAAAGCTGGAGCTCCTGCAGCGCTCAGCGAGAGCCAGGAGGGAGGGGACGCTCAGGGTGCCGCCCCGCCTTGCACACAGGGAGGACACAGCCTCCTGCTGCCATCGCTACGGGGAGCACACAAAGCACCTGGGAGCTCAACGCGTCCCCAGGAGGGGCTGATCCGGCACAGCACCAACCCCCTCTCCAGCACCATCCCTATCACCGCAGTCCCCAGGGGCTGGATGACAGCAGGCAGAAAGGCACAGAGCCAAGGAGGGCGTCACAGCCTCAAGATGCCCACAGCATCCAGCGAGCAAAAGGAGGACCCTTCCCCATCACAACCTCTGCGCAGAGCCCCATTGAGCAGTTCTCTCCCCATCTCCACCACCAACACGAGCCCCATGGGCCAGACGAGCGCGTGGCCACTCTGCCGGAGCCAGGCGGTTCGACAGAGCCCGGAACAAAGAAGAGCCCAACTTCAGGTTGCAGAGCACAAAGCCACCACCGTCCCGCAAAGACGTCGGCCCCTCAGCAGGTGAAAAGCTCCCCCCGCACCAACAGCCCCCACCAGCCCTCACCGTAAGTGCAGTTACAGCAAAGCCGGATGATAACGAGGATTTCCATGGCAGCCCCTTCTCCGCGCAGCCATCCCTGCCTCCCCTCGGCAGCTCAGCCCAGCTGCTGCGCCACGGCATCGGCCCTCAGCACAGCTCCCAGCGCAGGAGGAGGGGGTGGGCAGGGGGTGGGGGGCTGCTGCACGCCCCCAGCATCCTCGCGAGGGGCGTCCCCCCCTACTCAGTGCCAGCGCTGCGCATGGGAACGCAAAAGGGCTCCGCTGCCGGGAGCTGCTTGGTAATGCACCCGCAGACAAAAGGCTGCAGCCCCCTCCCCACGCCCGCCCCTCGCATGCCGTACCCTCCATGGTGACGGACGTGTGGCTCTCCTTCGAGTCCTTGGGGCCTTTCACCTTCAGTTCCTAGGGAGGGAAAGGGCAGCAAAGCGGGGCTGGGGCAGGGATTCCTCAAGGTTGGGAGGCTCTGCATCAATACTCTCCCCCAGCCCCATGGGCCTTGCCATAAGCATGGGGTGCTACTAGCTAGGGGTGGATCCAGCCATTCCCCCAGGTCTCCCCAAAGCAGTATCACAGCACCGGTCCCACTAAGGGGTCCCAAACTGGGGAGCAAAGCCTGCAGGATTCAGAATAACACCCAGTGAGCGCTGCCATCCCACACAGCAAGAGGTGGTTCTGCTTTACAGATAGTACCCAAAAGTCCCCAGGGCAGGGGGAACCTCTCTATAGGGTGCATGTGGTCAGCACAGCTGTGGGAACAAAGTCCCCTTCCCCACCCCACACACATGCTCTAACCCCATAGCATGATCCCAGCCACACTCACCTCAGAGATCTTCTGGAACTGGTTGTTGCTATGGCTGCACTTCTCAGCTGTTTCCAGAGCAATTTTGTAGTTATCCACAAAGGCCTTGTACACCCCGAGCTGGCTGGCCTGTGAGCAGGGGGGGGAATGGGGTCAGCCAGGTGCCCACAGTGCCCACTGCACCCCCAGAGGCCAGGCAGGGCCATAAACCATCTAAATCTGTCCCTCAAGCAGAAGGGGATGTGGGTGACCCAGCTGAGCAACGTGCATACCAGCTTTTGGAAGAGGTGGCCCATGGTGATGTTGCTGTCCCACTGCTGCACCTTGGGGCACAGGTTGTCATAGAACTCCTTGTGGATTTCGTAGATGTCCTGGATCTTGTAGAAAATGGTTTCAATCTGCTGCAGGGTGAGGACGGGCTGTGATGTAGTGGCTGTGGCCTTCAGCGGCTTCATGGGCTGCCGAAGGAGAAGGGAGAGCATCTGAGAGCTGGGCCCCAAGGACTCCTCCAGCCCAACAAGGGGGACAGCTCTGGGACAGCCCCGGCCCCCTGCACGAAGGGCAGTAACTGCAGGGTGTGCTCCCTGCTCCTGCACCCTCTGACTTGCCCATCCCAGCAGCAGCAGCCCTCACATTATGCAACTGCATCTCCACCGCAGGGGCCAACGTGGCCATGGGAGGAAGCAGACACTTCTGTGCTGGGCAGGCTGGCAAGGGCTGCCCTGGAAGGAGGGACCCCACCCCCCATCCCTTCTGGTGACCCCCTTGGGGAGGGGGCCCGGCTGTGCTCACCAACAGGAGTGCCTCCAGCTGGTTGATGTAGATCTCCTCACTGGCCAGGAAGCCGGAGAGCACCAGCTTCCGCATCTCCAGCCCTTTGCCAGCATCTCGCTCACCCTGTGCAACACAGCAAGGAGCTCAGCTCAGCCTGCAGTCACCATGGCACAGAGCCCCTCATCCCACCAGCCCCAGCATCCCCACGAGGACACATCCCTTCCAGCATAGAGACACGGCAGCAAGGGCCGGGTACGTGCCTGCAGGACAGCACAGCCAGGCTGGAGCCAGCTGGGAAGCTGGGGCGGCACCGACTTTGCTTGGCCTTGAGCCCAGCACTGCAGGCAATGCTCCAGGGCGGCACAGTGAGGTAAAGCCCTCCCAGGGCAGAGTCCACAGGCGCCCAAAGAAACCATGCCTTAAGGCTGGCTTTGTGAGCCAGCACCACCCTCTTCCCAGCTGGGGTTTTCTCTGGGAAAGTGCCACCCCTGTGGTCACTGCCTGGCCTCTGCGTCACTGCTTGGTGGCATCATGGCAGGCCCGGTGCCAGGGGCACAGCACCCATCCATGCACACCAGAAGCTTCTGATCTGCTCAGAAGAGATACACCTAGCCATGACATCAGCACAGGCACAACCCTGAATGCCTCTCTTGGGCTTTGGACTGCCTCAAACCCACGCTGTGCTCAAAATTCCCATCCCAGCACTAAAGCTCACTCTCAGAAGCTGGGTTTTGCCAACCAGAGCAGCACCAGGCAGAGACACAGCCCTGCCTTAACCCAGCTGTTACAACCTAATTTGGAGAGCGAGGATCACAACTACCAGCTTGTTGCTCCAAGCAATTTGGGATGGCTAAGCAGGACCACAGTCCTCTCTCTCTGCCAGCCCTGGGCACCACACCAAGGCTACAGCAACAGCAGCCTCACTCGGGTGCCATGAGCAGCATGAGCAGCTCCCCCAGATGGAAGCACAGCCAGGAAGCACACAATACTCGTGTCCCATCCCATGTGGGCACCGCTTGGTCCCGTCCCATCAGCCAGCTCAGAGCCCAGTGCTCCCTGCCCAGCGGTTCCGTTAAGGCCAGGCTGCAGAGAGCTGTGTGGGGGGAGCACAGGGAGCCTGCTTGGTGCTGGCGGGCTCGTTGCCACCATTAGTCATGGGCTCTTCCTGCTTCCCCTGAGGCTGGGCCCTGCGTGAGAGCTGAGGAGATAAGGGGGGCACATTCGCACCCAGAGCCTGTGATGCCCCTGGGGACAGTGTCAGTGGGACCCCCATGGCTCCAAGGGGCAGAAAGTCCACCCTCATGCAGGGTCCAGCAGCCACCCTGTGAAGGAGACCCCAAGGAGAACAGAGATGGAGACCTCCTCCACTCCCCCATGAAGCAACCATGCTAGGTGGGCTAGAAGGCAAAGGGCTGTAGCTAGAGACACCAGGACACCTCCCGGGCCAAAGTACCAGGGCTGGGAGCAATTTAGGGAGTTTGCTCATGGCTGTGCAGTAAGTCAGTAGCACAGAGTGGTCCAGTCTCATCCCGAGCATCCCAGCTCCGACAGCACAGCAGCCCACCCCAGCAGGCACGCACAAGCACTGGCTGAGCTCTTGGCACTCAATTCCCTCCCCACCCCTGCCCTGGAAAACCTCACATCCAAGCCCCTAGGCTCATGCCGGCAGCAGCAAGGTGCCCATTTCCATCCCCACCCCATCCAGCACTGAAGCAGGGTGCCCCATGGGTGCCCACCTTCTCACTGGCCGAGAATGGAGACCCAGGGCTGGTGGGGGTTCCTGGCTCAGAGTCATCTTCATCCTCCAGGACTTTATCCAGGTACCCTATGGCTTCCTCTTCCTCCTCCATGCCTGCTTGGCACCGGGGGGGCTGTGGGGACCCCACAAGGCTTCGGACGTGAGGACTTACGCAGCCGAGCCAGCCGGGCCTGACTCAGCCCTGGATGCCGGCCACAGCCTCTGGATGAAAGGAGCCATTATGGGATCCCCGGTGCTCCCGCCTGCCCCAGCTCAGGCCGTCGGCCCCGCTGCGGGGCTCTCCCCAGGCAGCAGCACAGCCACCCGCGCGTGACGGCAGCGGGGACGGCGAGGTCACCCAAGCAGGGACGGAGGAGCTGCTTGGCTCTGCCTTGGCCAACGCTTTCCCCGGGTGCTCCGCCAGCAGCGTAGGGCCGCTGCCCGCCGTGCCGCTCTGCTCTGCTTGCAGCCAGCGCTGCCGCTCCGCCCTGCGCTCTCGCTACAGGAAATGCACGTCTGGTGTGGAGGTGGGGCTGCTCACACTATGGTCAAGACAGCTCGCCAAATGTTTTTTCGGAGTTACAGCACTGGGGAAGCCAGAGAGCAAGGGGGAACTCCATGGGGAGAGGTCCCCAACTCTCCATCCGCACCCCCATGCCCTCCCCGGATTCGACAGCCAGAGCAGCAAGCAACAGAGCACCCATCCTGCCTGCTATCACCCACGGGTATCCCCATGAAGGTGGAGAGCTGGACCACAGGATTCTCCAGTGACCTCTGAGGGCAGCAGAAGGGATCATGTCCCATTAGGACATCTAACCCCCCACTCTGAACCATACAGGTGAAGGCTCCTGGGCCCCTCCCTGCTCCAGAGGAAATCTCAGCAGGGCAATGGTGCTGATGCACGGTACTTCCCAGAACACCTGGTCTACATCTAGCAATTCTGCAGGGCTTCGCTGGCCCTGGTGAGTGGGGCAAGAAGGGGATTGGAGATGCACATATCTGGATGAGGTAATGCAAGAGCCATTTCAGCCGTTTTCCCACTCTCCTCCGCAAAAAAAAAAAAAAAGGGGAACCAGTAGTTGCGGATGCTCAGCCCCCACAAGCTTCTCGCCTCCCTACTCCTCCTAAAACCTGAAACAAAGCACTGGTGCATGAAAAAAAATGGAGGAAGGACTTTCTGGAGCCCCGCATCCACACTGCACCGCAGGCTTTGCACATTTGGTAAGAGAGCTCTTTCCCACGACCCCAGAACACAGCCATTGAATCACCAAGGTGGGGAGAGCCATCTTCAGCACCAAACCAGCACCATCCTGTGCTGTGGCCACAGCCTCCGCCAGGATGCTCACAGCTGCAGGTGGGATGGGCTTGTCTCCATGCAGCTGGGGGAGTTCTGGGCTCAGCTGCAGTTACCCCATGAGCTCACAAGATGAGACCCTGCCAGAAACCTGCCAAGCTGGAGATGCCACCTCCAACTCCAGGTGGATATGGGATGTCAGGTTGAGCCAGGCACCTTATGAAAACAAGGCTCCAGCTTACACACATGTACCCACCCAGAGGCGCTCCAAGACCACAGCTGCTGGCACCCAAAGGCACTCTCCCTAAGCCCCAGCCCAAGCAGCTGCAGATAAAGAGATCAGAGGCAGAGCTGGCGCTGAGCTTTAAAGCCCCCAATCCTGTTAGTGCTGGGCCAGCACTGAGCTGAGATGGCCACTGAGATGGCATCACTGCCTGAGAGCAGAAGGCAACATCCCCTGGGCTACCCAGAGCCCGACTGCTTCCCCAGGACCACTCTGCCAGGGGATGAGACCCCCTTGCAGTGGGTGGGGCGACCCCCACCAGGGTGGGGGCTGACTCAGTCCATGTTGGCGAGCCAGGGGACCATGCCTGGGGACACAGCAGCTCAACACGGGATGATGGGACCCATGGGATTCACATGGGACTGGACACAGGATGCTGCACAGCACCCGTACCCTGGGGAGGAAGCCACACCTCTGTGCTCCTCCGCCTCAACATCCGGGTTAGGGCTTTAACTCCTTCCATGACAAAAACCTCCACGTTTTCCACACTGCCTCATCCCACGTCCCTGTCCTCCCCATCCTCCACAAAACAGTCCCTATGCACAGGGAGCAGAGGTAGCCAGTGCCCTGCCCAGGGGACAGCAGCTCCCAGGTCCCTGGGACAGCACTACACCCTCTGGGTTATAGAGAAACCCTAATTTTGGAAAAAAAACACCCTCTATTTTCAGTTTCCCACTCCAAAGCTTTCCAAATTTCCCTCCTGGGAAACGCGATGGATAAAAACCCAGCAGTTCTGCAAGGATGCTCGAGAGCTCAAGGAGTTAAATCTGAGTTTCCTTTTAAAGAGAAAGGGGTGGACACGATGTCCCACTGCAGCTGGCAGGCTGTCCCCAAGCGCCACTAGATGGAGCCTGCAGCACGGCTGCTCCTCGTCCCCTCGCAGAGGGGCAGGGGACACAGCAGTCCATCCCAGTACCTCTCAGCTGGGTTCCATCACCCTGCCCTTTGGAGCAGTGTCACCAACGTGACCCATGGACACTGCAACATTCCCAACCGTGGGACTGGGAAACTGAGCAGTCACATGCATCACAGCAGCACCAGATCATCACCAGGAAAGAAGACACATCCCAGCCCCAATTTTCACAGATCCTACTGCCAAGCTCAGTGCCCAGCCCACCTACCCCTGTGTTGAGCCCATCGGTGGGTGTGGGTGAGACGCCATCTCCGCTCTCCTGGCCCCGAGCGCTGAGCTGGGGGGACATGGTGGGCGACTCATCAATGTAGGGCATGGTTTCCGAGCCTTCTGGCAGTGCTTTGGGCTCCTCGTTGCCCTCGGCATCGTAATCTTCTGCACCATAGTTGAAATCTGCCAGAAGAAGAGAAGATGGCGGTGAGCATCCAGGAAGGAGGTAGGCGACGTGGGGACAGGGACACCAAGCATTCCTGGTCTCCGCCCCACCCCACAATGACTCGAGGGCTCACAACCCCTCTCCCAACCCCCGGGGCCACGTAGGGACATGGACACCCGCTCCACACGGCTGCTGCTGCCCACCTGCCGACCAGCAGCTCTTTCCCCTACATTTACATAATTCATGCTGCCGGGAAGCCGCAGGCCGCGTCTGTGTGGGGGCAGCTGCTCCTCCAGACAGCCCGGCCCTGCGCCAGCAGCCCTGCCCTCAGCGCCGGCGAGCGATAGAACCAGGCTGGCATCCAATCCTCCTCATCCTCACTGCATGCCAGTGAGGGGGACGCGGCCACCCCGCCTGGAAGAATGGGGACAACGGCAACGTGGGGGACGTGGGAGCGATGCCAACACGGCGACTTGGGACACAGCGACTTCGGACAACCTCACGTTGGCCACCAGGCCGTGCCCCCCCCCCTCTTATCCACACACACAGAGCCATTCTAGGGACCCTCGGCCCTCGGTGGGAGCTGAGAACAGCCAAGCAGCAGTGCGAGGCCTGGGGGCTGCAGGGAGGGCCCAGGGCGCAGCGGGGGCCTGGGGTACATCCGAACCGGTTCCCATGGCAACGGCAGCACTCGGCGGGAAGAGGCGGCTGCAGCAGCCCCGAGATGCTGACAAAGGGGAGGGGGAAGGGAGCCCGGCTGCGGCACAGGAACCCCCCAGTACCTTGCAAAGAGGATGAGGACCTCACCCTGACTGCTTGGGGTGTCCCCATGGCTGAGATCCCCGCTCAAAAGGGCGCTGGGCTGCATCCATCCCAAGCCAAACCCTGCACTGTTGTTGCTTCACCGCCCCAAAGCCTCAGCTAAGGAGTCCCCTAGCTCCTGCCAGCATTGCTTGTCCCATTAATATTGCATTCAGCTCAATATTTAAAGTAGATAAATCTTTAAATCAAAGAGCGCAGGGCCAGGAGCCGTGCAGTGCTGGCAGGGAGGGACCAGGACTGTCCTACATCCCAGGGCAGGACAGGGAGCCCAACACAGCACAGGACATCCCCGTTTTACCAGGGCAGCCCAGTCGCTCTCAGACCTCTCTTTATTAGCAATTAGCTGCTAATGAGCAACCTCTAGAGCCCTGACACCGCCCACCTCACACCACCCACTCACCCTGGGGAAGCCCCTCACACAGACCCTTCACTGGCTAGGGTCTAACAAGGGGAGCAGGAGGGAGCAAAGCTGAATGTTCCCCCCTGAAAATCTTCAACCCCACACTCCTGTTGTCCAAGCTCTGCAGCTTCAGACTGAAGCACAACACCCCAACCCTGAGCCCACCCCATCCCAGAACCCAAAAATGGTGACATGGGTACATCTGAGGCTATGCCAGCCCTGCCAAAGCCACTGCCTCTATACCAGGGCCACAGCAGCAGCCGGCAGCAGCAGGAGCCCACGCTGAGCCCAGCAGCAGAGCTGGGACCTGGCCACCTCCCCACCCCATTGCCAGCCTTGGGAGCAGCTCGGGTAACGAGGAACACCGTTTTAATGAGGCAGCTGGGGACCTTGCCAACTGCCTCCGGCAGTGGAGGTAATGACAAAGGCACAGAGGCACAGAAGGGGAAGGGACCAGTCCATGGAGACGCAGGAATGGCTTCAAACCTCAAGCACCCATTGCTTGCCCCCAGCCTGAGCAGATTTCAGCCCCAGGTCTGACCTGGAGATAAGCTGCAGTGTCCAAAGAAACATGGAAGGAGAGGGACCCCTGGCAGAGTCCTGTACCCACTCAGGAGCCCAGAACACTGTCTCCAGTGCCATGTCTCCACATGCACCAGGACTGCAGGACACCACGAGGTGCCTCTTGGCAGTATCCCAACCTTTTCTCAGGCTCTCCGAAGCAAATCCCCCCATGTCCATGGAGCACGAGTGGCTCCATCACCGCACTCACTATGAAGACAGATGGACACAAGTCAGGATGTGCTGCAAGCAGGGATCCAAAGGGACGTGCCATCACTCGGCACACAGATCAGTGCCTAATGCCACCATGGGAGGGGGACTCATGCATAAGGGACACTGAGGGCCTGTCCTCTGCACAGCCCTGCCTGCAGAGCCCAGCAAGACCAAATTACACTGCTCCCTCCTCCCCCTGCAGCTGCATTGCCCCTGCAGCCTGTTTTTGTGCCCATGCCAAACCCAGAGCTATTTTTGCTCCAGCAACAGTGGAAACCCTCCTGCTCCATCCAAGATGTGGGGACAGAGGAATCAGAACCCACTCCACAGCCCCTCACCCAAATCAGCCATGGCCTAGGCTCCGTCAGCAGTGCTGCAGCCCCTAGCCCCCAGCACCACAGGCTTGTGCCTGAGGGACACTGGCACCATTGGGATCCCACAGCATGGTGGGGTCAGGAATATGTCCCCACATGGAAAAATCACATCTCAGCTCTGCCATCCAAGCTGACGCCAGTGAAATGATGCCCGAGAGTGAGCGTGGCCAAGGGCGGCCACTGGCTCCTCCCAACACAGGCAGGTGACAGCACTGTCACAGCAGCACAGTGTGGCATTTCCTTTGCTTTCCCAATTGGGCACATACCACATCCAAGGCTCTGCACACCTCAACACTCACCTGCCCTATTCCATTCCCACAGTTCAGCATCCTTATGGTGGGGGAGAACATACTTTGCCATTCCCAGATTGCAAGGTTTGGGAAAATGCCACATTTTTACTGGGTGAAAATTCACCATGACAACAGGGATGCGTGAGCTGGCCTCAGACCTGCCTCCACAGGCCTCCTCGACACAAACAGCATCTCCTCCTCACCCACGCTGCATCCTCCCAGCTAGCACATCATCCCAGGATGCTCACAAGCCCAAGTGCTGAGCGTTCACTGCTCCCAAGTGCTATGGTCCCTGGGCATCCTGATAGTCCCTGGCACCGTGGGCTCTGCAGGGAGGCAGCTGCAGGGAGGCTGGGTCTGGAGGACTGCACAAGCTGGCACGGAGGGATGCTTTTGACGGCAAGAATCTGCCTTGGGGGATATGGGATGGAAAACTTTGGGGGACTCAGCCCCATGCATGGTGCCCCCGTGACCAACCCCAGCTCTGGGTTCTTGGCACAGTGAATTGCAAATTCAAATATGCAATTA